TCTTTTAAGTGTCTTGCTTTGGGCATACTTATGCAATTCATAACCTGCCTCGTGTCCATCTAGTTGCCTCTTTGGGTCCGAATCTCAGGAAAGTAAGGAAGTTATGCAGCTTGCATATCGAGGGACACCAGAGGTCTTCTTTCACCAGTAAAGCTGGAATTTTGCTATACAACCTTAACTGTGTCGGTGTGACGTTTTAATGATTACAAACTAATTAGGACTTTGTTTATCCAAAATAGAAATTTTAGAGAAACAAAAAAAACTTATTTATGTTACCTAAAAAGTAGTTAGGTGTTTTATTCAGGCTTTTGAAGCTCCTTTTTAGTCCAAAGTAAGATTTTATACCATATTTCTATTTCTCATAGTTAGGCTTTTAAAACTCCTTATTATTTAAGAGTTATGTAATTATGTTTATTTATCCTAATTATGAGTAAAAATTCCTAATTAGTTGTAACTGGCAGTATTCAAGTTGTAATAACTTGTTTTATCTCTCCTAGTTAGGAATACAAAAGTCCTAATTAGACATTTACAGGAGTGACAAAATCCTAATTAGGTTTTAAAACTCCTAAGTTTAACAGGTTCTTTAAAAAAAACACAAAAAAAAACATTTGATTTCTGAGAAAAGTGTGTTTATATTAGCGATTTTCGACCATGCGACCACATACATGCATCGAGGACATATTGTAAGGAAAGTGACCGTGCGACCACATACACGCATCACAGGGATTCCCCTTCTCATACGAGAAGGGGACAAAGAGTTGTCCGCCCTTTTATCAAGGGACAGACTAAAATCATGCCATTTCCTTAATAAAAAGGAGGCAATTTTTCACAGATGTGTCTTGAATTGGTTTATATACAACATAAGTAATGCAAAACAAGTGGGGTATCAGTTTCCGTCCTTTTAAGTCCGCAATGAAATATTAAAAAGATCATATTTAATTTTTTGGAAAATTTTAAGTTTACAGTTTTTTCTACTTTTCATTCTATGTAAATAGTAGAATTAGTCTATTTTTACAGGACAGGAACGTTTCAAAAACGTTTTATATGCATTAAATATGGGAGATAATAATATTTCACACTGACTGCAAATATTAACCTTGGGGGCATTTTTCTCAAAGTACGTGTTTTATTTCTATATTCGACTTAACCTATTTGTGAAAGAAAAGGCAATGTGATGGGCTGTTATAAAATATTTTACTTGAGCAGACGACAATTCTGACACACAGGTAAGGCTTATCATGCTGAATTTATAAAATGAGCCGCGTCACGACAAAACCAACATAATGGGTTTGTGACCAGCATGGATCCAGACTAGCCTGCGCACCCGCGCAGTCTGATCAGGATCCATGCTGTTCACTACCAGTTTCTCTACTTGTAATAGGGTTAGTAAGCGAACAGCATGGATCCTGATCAGACTGCGCGGATGCGCAGGCTGGTCTGGATCCATGCTGATCGCAAACGCACTATGTTGGTTTTGTCATGACGCGGCTCTTAATGTATTTTTCCAGCTTCCATTTATCAATCTGTGAATATCAAGATAGAAATTTCTGAAGTCAGTCAGTCATAAGTACGGAGCCAGTTCAGTCAGCACGGATGTGCAGTCCGGATGTGCAGCCCGGCTTACATGTATCTGAATACTGGTAAATTCATTTCGGTACTTCTAATGTAAGCTTATTTAAAGTTTAAACAAATTCTATTGCACAGTTTTTAATCTGCCTTTATGTCTATGTAACTGTAGCATATGCCTTTAATCTTTCATTTGTTATATTTCCTCAAGACGAAAAGTTATCAATGTTATCGAAAAAAAAAAATAATGACACACATTCAACGTAATTTTAAATCAAACGAAGTCCATCAATGTAATGTCATTTCATGTACATGCTAATATAAAATAATAACCCTACGTCCATGGACAATGTGTTTCATGACAGTATACTTACATACATGAGAAAATTTGGTCGTAGTGAATATTGCTTTGTCCTGTAACTGCGCGTGAATTAAAAGCTTATTCAATGAAACTTTCGCATTAATATCTTTTCTGTCTTGGGAAAAATATGACGAATGATATAGAGGATATTTGTTTGTTTTGCATGTAAGATTGAAATATAATTTCACTGAGTGAACACCAGATGCAATATTTTCACGAGTGGCGTAGCCACGAGTGAAAATATAATATCTGGTGTTCACGAATGAAATACATTTCAATCTTATATGTAAAACAAATAAATTTTCTTTTTATTTCATGCTTTTTAAGTGATTTTTAGTATTTTTTTACTGATTTTGCCGCGTAACGTCGCGCATTCTCCTTTGTGACGACATCACATCATGACGTCACATCATCAATTTTGAAATATAGTTCTGTTAAATTTCTCTAATTTTGTTACATTTTTAACATGTATTGTGACATCGACTTTCTTTTCCTAAAGAAGCAAAATTTACGCATAACAGCATTTAGTACTGCCTGTTATGCCATATAGTTATGATTCTCTTTTCATCCGCATTCAGATATAGTCCGGCTACAGTGAGAATTATATTTTATAAATTGCACTAGTGGTTTATCAGAATTTATTACATGCTTTTCGGTGGTTTATAGAAATATATCAGTGATATAAAACTGGTAATTTCACTGTTTGAAACAGTGAAATTACATCTTTGATAATTTCACTGTTTTGAATTTAAGCCCCTTACGTTGTTTCAGTGAAATACCAGCGTGTACAGTACTGGGTACCAACTTAATGACGTGACGTCGTAAATGACGTCACGTTGTATTATTATTTGGCGCGCTTTTCATTCAGTTTTAGGTTAAAAGGAGACACAGGCAAATTTTTCATTCCTTAGTTTTATTTTTTTTCATTCTTAATTCTGTAAATGCCCTCAAAATGAATATATTAGACAGTCAAAGGAACAAAACTTTTCTCCATATAAAGAATAAAATGATGGTTTTCTAACCTGACCCGCGTGGGTCAGGTTAGAGCGCTAGGATTTCACAATAGTTGTCACAGTGAATTATGCAAACGTTATCGAACATGTCAAATGAATGATTTTGACTTGTTTCAGTCATACAATATCTACAGTATCTGTTGATGTAACTTCAAGGATTTGTTCAAGTCATCTGACTTGTTTTAAAACTATTCGGTGATTCTATTGACGTCTAAATTTTGATCAACATTTATAGATATATTTATGTTTCAAATCCAAAATGTAAAAAAATTAAAAGAAATTCATGCTGAAGCTTTTAGAAATGTCATTTTAGCGCGAATTGAGTACAATAGATCATTTTAATATTTTTGTCATTATTTTGCCTGCATATCCCTTTAAATGTCTTTTTAAAACGTTTCTTTGCATATAATAAAAAGAAAATTTGTTTAGTTTAGTGTAAGATTGAAATATATTTCACCTTGTGAACACCAAAAGTTCATATTTCACTCGTGGCTGCGCCACTCGTGAAATATACCTTTTGGTGCTCACTCGGTGAAATATATTCCGATCTTACACTGAACTAAACAAATATCCTCTATATAATCATCTGATATATATCAATAAAACACTGGAAAGCATGAAATAATTTAGTTTAAAGGTCCAATTTTGGAAAAAGGTACGATACGAATAAAAAATATTAATGAAGAAGGGACCTTGATTTTCTGTCAAAATTTTAGCCACTTTGAAAGCATTTTCCGTCACCATTTCACCGCATTTTCACTTCAAACGGACGCCTGTTTCATTCTTAAGTGAAGACACACTGGGTTGATATTTTGATTACGTGACCTAAAGTGATGATTGCACCATTGGAATTAGAAAACAAAATTGGGAAAATAATTGTAAATATGGAATTTTACCTATAATACCGATAAAAACCACAGGCAAATATGCTTGTAGGTGAAAGGCAGGCACAAAATAAATGAATTAAAGTCTCATCTGAGATTGAATTGAATTGAATGTTTCTATAATAAACACATTGGTGTGTTAAATACATTTCAAGCTTGTGTGGAATTTAGGACACACGGTTACTTAATAAAAACAGTATACAAATGTGTTTTATCACCAATGGGACTCTATGGCACAACATAAAGTGACATTTTCAACCAATTACTTTGTTTATCGTGCAGCAAATCCTATCCTATCCGATAGATACAGCTACTGTACCCCCAATATCACTTACATAACGTTAATAATGACAAAAAAACCATTTGTTTAACATGAATTTAGATATTGCGACATTTAACGGTAGTGTTGTGACATTAAAGGGTAAGGTAACTAAAATGGTGCGACATTTCACGTGATCATAGCGACATTTAACGACAAAATATTTTGAGACATTTAACGGTGGTTGCGACATTTAGCGGAAATCGTGCGACGTAAAGCGGCAAGTGCGACATTTAGCGTCGTTGCGACACATAACGGTGCCTAATACGTACGTACGTAACTTTGTTTTAACTCTTAAACCAATTCCTTCTGTGAAAGTTGCCGTTGATTATAATTTTGTAATAATACATCTAAGCCACCACAAATAATGTTAAAAATATAAAATAAGTTTGTTATGACGTATTATCATTACTATTGTTTTTATTATTATTTCTTATTATTATTATAATTATTAATTATTGTTATTATTATTATTGTTATTATTATTATTATTATTATTATTATTATTATTATTATTATTATTATTATTATTATTATTATTATTATCATTTATTGTTATCATTATTATTGTTGTTATTATTATTATCATTATTTATTATCATTATTATTATTAGCATTAGCATTATATATAATGCAGTTTACTTACCCCAAAACTAACCTTCCAATTAATTTTGCTTTACAAAATGTTAATTCAGTTAAAAGAAGTACGCATCCCTATCATCCGCCGAAAAAAAAAGAAAATGAAAACGAAAGAAATAAAAAAAATTGGAATATATCTTTTTCTTTTTGATTTCTTACCAATCGCAAATTTAAAACAGTCTTCGGACAAATATGAATAATAGCCCAGGATTTCTCACCTTTAGTTTTACAATACTCCTCCCCTTCTTTCTGCAGCTCGTTGTGTGACATCATATCCTCTACAAGCTGTTTCAGCGTCTTTCCTTGATCATCTAACTCTGCTATAAACTGTTCCTTTATTACCAGCATGTTTCTCTCCCTTTCATCAATATATTCCTGTAATATAGTTGAAACTTTAGTTATTTCCATTTCAAATTTTAGGTGTGTATTCTTTGCTTAATGAGAGATCATCCGCCTGTTAAGCACAAAAGATATTTACATTTCTGTTTTTCTTTTTTTTCTCCCTTTTTTCTTGGGCGGGGGGGGGGACTGGGCGAGATGTTTGGATGTTTGGGTATTAAAAATAATTTTGAAACAGACATCGGATCGGAGTTATTAAATAAAACAGAAAACATATCCAACAGATAGGGAAATGTTATAAAAAAAGAAAGAAAATATATCGGACCAGGGTCTTTCAAATAGATCGGACCAGGTCTTTCAAATAGAATGGTCTGGAGACGCGCTGTTTGAAAGACCCTGATCGGACAGAACTTAAATCTGGTATAGCTATTGCCAATAAAGATGTTTGCTGAATTTTCAGTTTGCCAACTTTAAAAATACTGTGTTTTTTGTGGTTCTTAAAAAACTGCTCGATAAATAATATTTAATGCATTTAAATTCGTCGAACAGTTCATTATTGCAATCAACCCTCATTTTGCAATGCCCGACGTCACCACCACCTCCTACATATTAACTTTCACTCATCCTGTACATTTTTCATATAAAATACATTACAAATGTAACTATAGTTTAAACACATTTGATTTTACAAAAGAAAGTTACATCATTCATGAAGTCATGAAATTGTGAATCATATGATAGTCTAGTCAGCCCCTTCCTGTCACAAATACAAGTAGAAAACTGTTTTAATGTTTCTTTATGATTTGGCGTGATCTTTTATATAATATATATTACTAAAGTCCATTTATCTTTCCCCTCCAATTATCTTAATCATTATCAGACTTATTTTTATCATCACAAGAATATCTTTTCATACATACAACAATCTTCTGCCGCTCTTCCTTTAGCTGCTCGAACATCAGCTGGACACTGGTTGCCCATTCTTGCACCACCCTAGCGTGTCTGATAGCTGCCTCACTGCAGTTCAAAACTCCTAAAATAAAAACAGCAAACGTAAGCTTGACAAAAATCTAAAAATGCATTGTTGAAAGTTATGCTGACTCTAGGATACTATTTCATAATCTAATTATTACTATAACTATTCTTTATTCTATTCTGTTCTATTCTATCATTTTATTCTATTTTATTTTATTTTATTCTATTCTATTCCATTCCATTCCATTGCATTGCATTCCAGTCCAGTCCAGTTCAGTCCAGTCCCCTCTAGTCTTCTTTTCTATTCTAGTCTAGTCTGTTCTAATATAATCTATTCTAGTCTAGTCTAGTCTTCTATCCTATCCTATCCTCTCCTGACCTCTCCTCTCCGCACTAAATCATGTCACATATAGTTTACTACATCATTCATGTATAACCTTAAAGATAAAATATATACCCCGGGATATATATGTTCTATGTTCAAGAAAAATATCAAACTTGTTAGTAAAACTATGCCATCAAACTATCAACCTACCATTTAAATCTTCAGCAAAGTTTCTGATTTTATGCTGAAATTCCACAAATAAGTCTAAAACAAGTCCCCGTGAAAAGTTCATTCCGCTTTTCTCCGGCTCAGTGGCAGCTGTGGCTCCCTCAGTGTCATCAGTATCTGCTCCATCCTCTTCCACGCCATCGGCAGCTTTTTCTATTGGTTGTTTCGGTTGTGATAAACCACACTCGACAGCAGTTGTTAACCTCTCCAGGACGTTTTCGAGTTCGTTGTGTCTTTGTTCTAGCATAGAAATACGCTGAAAAGAGAGAAATGATTATGGCTATGCATTAGTGTAACTGGAAAGAAATTATTTAGTAATTGTAAATTGTGTAATTGTGTTTCGTATTCCAATCATCTGACAGGCATGTATGTATACTATGCAGTCTGGTGCCTGAATAGAAACAAATATATTTTAAGACATTAAAGTCTATAAACGTGGATATTTCAGAAACATGTACTTTGTGCATTGTATGCAAATTGTTGAAATTGACGTCACAATAACATGTATGCTGCTAATGCTATTGGTTGTTTAGGTTTACGTTGTATTAAACGGTACCGTCAGGCGAATCCGTTTCAGACATACTGTAGCATTTGTGTTTAAAGAGTCGACGATTTTGAAAGATATTATAAATATGATGGTAACTAGCAAATTATTAAATTATTTCAGCTAACACAACCATTTTTATGAATTTTAACCTTGAAGCAATTATTTCAATGTTGTGATAACTGGTTATTATCAAACAAATCGGTATAGTTATAATTGTTTGCGTGGTATTAAAATGTTTGTTTGAAAAACGAAATTCAGAGCCATTAGGAAAGCTTTACAGTTACCTGAATGTATTCTTCCTCAATACATGCAACTCTTTCATCTCCGGCGGATTCTATGTAATCGGTGTCGTCATCATAATTCTCGCTCGTGACGTCCTCCGGGGTAGATACTACAGGAGACTTTACGGTTGATTTTTCTGGTTCGGCTGAATTAACCTACCAAATTATAAATTAATAACTCTTTAAAACGTCTATACGCTACATGATGGCAACGGAACATGCAACCTGAGCAGAGGCAGCAGTCCAGTGTTAAATCCAGCATTCGTGCAACATGTGTTCGATCTTCACACTGAAAAGTATCTAAAATAACTGAACTAAAAGACTTTAAATGAAGGTATGCTCAAGAACCAGTTCTCACTTCTAAAACAGAAAGAGAGAACCTCTGTACTCTTCGCACTTTCCTAAAATAATTTATAATATAACTTGAAATTAAAAATAAGTCTTCAGGAGCAAAGTGCCCGTATGTATTTCAGGCAGAGATTATTAGTATGTATTTCTGGCAGAGATTTTAAGTATGTATTTCAGGTAGAGATTTTAAGTATGTATTTCAGGCTGAGATTATAAGTATTATTTCAGGCAGAGATTATAAGTATGTATTTCAGGCAGAGATTATAAGTAACTATGTATTTCAGGCAGAGATTATAAGTATATATTTCAGGCAGAGATTATAAGTATGTATTTCAGAGTGAGGCAGATATTATAAGTTTTATTTCAGGCAGAGATTATAAGTATGCATTTCAGGCAGAGATTATAAGTATGTATTTCAAGCAGAGATTATAAGTATGTATTTCAAGCAGAGATTATAAGTATGTATTTCAGGCAGAGATTATAAGTATGTATTTCAGGCTGAGATTATAAGTATATATTTCAGGCAAAGATTATAAGTATTAATTTCAGGTAGAGAGTATAAGTATGTATTTCAGGCAGAGATTATAAGTATGTATTTCAGACAGAGATTATAAGTATGTATTTCAGAGTGAGGCAGATATTATAAGTTTTTTTTCAGGCAGAGATTATAAGTATGCATTTCAGGCAGAGAATATAAGTATGTATTTCAAGCAGAGATTATAAGTATGTATTTCAGGCAGAGATTATAAGTATGTATTTCAAGCAGAGATTATAAGTATGTATTTCAGGCAGGGATTATAAGTATGTATTTCAGGCTGAGATTATAAGTATATATTTCAGGCAAAGATTATAAGTATTAATTTCAGGTAGAGAGTATAAGTATGTATTTCAGGCAGAGATTATAAGTATGTATTTCAGACAGAGATTATAAGTATGTATTTCAGGCAGAGATTATATGTATGTATTTCAGGCAGAGATTATAAGTATGTATTTCAGGCAAAGAATATAAGTATGAATTTCAGGTAGAGATTATAAGTATGTATTTCAGGCAGAGATTATAAGTTTGTATTGACTATTTCAGGCAAAGATTATAAGTATGAATTTCAGGTAGAGATTATAAGTATGTATTTCAGGCAGAGATTATAAGTATGAATTTCAGGCAGAGATTATAAGTATGTATTTCAGGCAGAGATTATAAGTAAATGTAACACACACTGACTGATGCTCTTGATCGTGCTCAAATCGGACTCAATTTGAACCAAACTATAGGTTCTTTAATCTTTACCCAGTGGTCTTGAAGTATTTTGTAAGTAGGCACGGGTCATTTGAATTGTGAAAATTAGCGCCATAATGATATTATTTTTAAATATATTATCATATAGAATACTTTTAAAAGTTTAGCTATAATTAACAAAAATATGTTGAAAAAATTAAATGTCTAAAACTCTTGTTATTAATGTCCTCATGTTTCTCATGGGTTTTTTTAATGCCTTGACAATTTTGTCAGTAACTTCAGATTTTGACAATAATTTGTAAACATGGAAAAAGATATCTTTGGGCTTTGTGATTGAATTGGGACTTATTTCAACCATAAAACTTTCTGTAAAAACACACCATATTTCTTCATTTGACCCTGATCAATTACATTGCGCCTTTTTCATTCCTATTTCTTGAAGTCTTGTTCAACATGCATTTGATTATGGAATAATTGTTGTCAAATTTTGTGAAATTTTAAAAATCTGTCGAGCAAGAAACAATATTTAGTTACAAATGAGTGGTAGAAACATTACAAACTTAACTGTACAATACATGTACATGCAAATTCATAAAGATATTTTTGCAATTTGCATATCAAACTTTCATTCTGGAGAATGACTGAAGCTACTGGTTTTTAGGGACCATTAAGCCGACAGTTTTTCGTACATTTTCATAGTTCCGATTTCAAAACTGTAAAGCTAGAATACTGAGAGAAAAAAAAAACGGTGTTAACAGATGAATTAGAGTCAGTGATTTTCCTACTTATATAACAGACTCGAAAAAAGGCCTCTTCCCAATTGAAACTTTCTTTAAAATCATGCAGTTTTCCCAAAAATCTGAACTTAAACCACCTTTTTTACTTCCCAAATCAGCAATTTTAGTGATGATTTTTCCCAAAATCAAGAGGCTAAGGCCTCTTCCCAATAAAGTAAGAAAAATCACTGCAGAGTCTTAATTAAAATGCATTTCAGCGTGTGAAACTGCGAGTATATTTAGAACTAAATATATATGTATCATTTTTTTATTTTTTGTAGGAATTAAAAAGCATATACACGGTGCATATCCAAATCGGTACCCTCTTTGCGAAATCTGCTCAAACGGTACCCTCTTTGAACATGCACAGGTCATTCTCTGCTAAAAACAAACTAGCGATGGATAACAATAGTCAATCCAGTAAAATTTCATTGTAATAAAAAAAGGAGGTATGACACCGTCACACGTAGAAAAGATGTAAACCACGGAACACTATAATGTTTTTATTTATGTGCTGATTTGTCATGTGCCCGATTTTCATGTACTACAGCTTCACACTAAGCTACAAAAAATAGACATGTCTTGCCTTGCTCATCACCTCGACATATAATTCGGGCTGAAATGAACCTGTGGCTTGATTATATATGCATCATACATATTTAATATGTTCATATACATATCATCTTCGGATAAATGGCAGTATATTGTCAAAAAAATGAAAAATTCATAAAAACACCCTTCTTTCGGTTTTGCAGCGGCACGGGCTACCTCTCTTCATTTGAATTTTTATATCACACGTACACTCTCATTTTTTAACACATAGGTACCCTCAAAGCGCGACATATGCTTTTATGTGCGTTAATCGTTAAGTATATAATATTATGTAATATTTCTTACTTTTATGTACTTATTACATACTTAACGATTAACGCACATAAAAGCATATGTCGCGCTTTGAGGGTACCTATGTGTTAAAAAATGAGAGGGTACCTGTGATATAAAAATTCAAATGAAGAGAGGTATCCCATGCCGCTGCAAAACCGAAAGTAGGGTGTTTTTATAAAAAAAAATCATTTATTTTTGACAATATACTGCCATTTGTCCGAAGATGATATGTATATGAACATATTAAATATGTATGATGCATATATAATCAAGCCACAGGTTCATTTCAGCCCGAAAAATATGTCGAGGTGATGGGCGAGGCAAGACATGTCGATTTTTTGTAGCTTATTGTAAAGTTGCAGTACATGAAAAACGGGCACATGACAAATCAGCACATACATAAAACATTATAGTGTTCCGTGGTATACATCTTTTCTACGTGTCATACTTCCTTTCCTTATTACAATGAAATTTTACTGGATTGTTATCCATCGCTGGTTTGTTTTTAGCAGAGAATGACCTGTGCATGTTCAAAGAGGGTACCGTTTGAGCAGATTTCGCAAAGAGGGTACCGATATGGATATGCACCGTGATATACCAAATATTAAAACATGTTTCAAATGAAAAATACTGCAGTGTACATGGTTTTGAAAGGTAAGAGGGTTGTAGAGTGGGTGAGGGGGAGGGCCCGGGGGGGGAATGACCAATCAACCGTGAACGTGCCAAACACCTATGGTCTGACGGGGCATAGTATATAGAGTCAGTGTACCCAGTCTCGAACAGGACCCGGTTTCGCACCCTTTCCCGATTTTCGCTTTTGTTTTGGTCAATAATCAAGTGATTTCGCTAATTGGGAACGCTGAAAACCTTAAGCTAATAGCCGTTCTGTCGTAATATAAAAACGGCAACGCTGAAGACCTTAATCTACTAACTGTAGCCCTCAGGTTTTTTCCAGGATTTTGGGAACATGACCCTTACCCAACGAATTGGGAACTTCAGCGATTTTTTTTTGTTAAAATTTTGGGAAGAAATGCATGAATTAAATTTTTTGCAAAGAATAAATGAATGCAAAGAATCAATGTCTAGGATGGCATCCTCAAACATTTAAAACCATAACAGTGAAGAGGCCCTTATAAGGCTTATTTTCAAAGATTTTAGAATTTGTTATTCAATATTTTTATTTTCTAATTTTCAATTGGGATTTTTTTCCTGTAGATTGGGAAAATAATATACTATTTCCAATTGGGAATATCACCTACTATCGGCTATAAAATAGCTTAAAAAATCCCTGGCCCTTATCGATTCGTGCTGGTAAATTAGTGCAAATTATGAAATATATCCTAAATATATAGAGCTCTACCAACCTGTTCACATGTAAAGTGTTCAATGTTCCGGGTATCTTCGGGCATACGCTTGTCTTTCACATTTTCCTCACACTCAGCATTTACATTGTCACTGGGGCCGTTTTGAAGAGTGATCGGAATTCCGAGATCTGTCGCATTGTTTGAAAACTGCTGCTTTGTAGGATCTGAATCTAATTCTTGCAACATTTCACCGTCTTCAAGATTATTAGCATTTCCATTTAAAGCATCAAAAGCATCTAAAGTAACAGGAACTTCGCTTTCTGCATCTGTTCCAGAATTCTTTACAATTTTATTGTTTTCAAATTCTGACATTGTTGCAGACGCCATGACAGTTCTACGTCACTATCATGTGCGCAAGTTATGACGTCACATTTACAACTACGTTCCATAACAATGTTCCCCGGTTTTTTTTTTTTAATTTTGAAAATAGATCGACATGAGACTTTTTTGAGTTTACCTCCCCATGCCCGTAGATAAAAAAAGAATCCGCATATAATGGGATGCCCTCTGCTTCATTTCTCAGAAACGATCTGGCGCAATTTTAGCTCTTCTTTTCCCCAGAAAATTTCAAATTTTTAATAGAGTCTAAAATACTTGATAGTATTTTCTACTTGATAATTATTTGAACTATGAGCCACATTGTAGATCTATATCATTAAAAAGCTAATTTTGACTTGCCAATAAAACCGTTTAATATTTTACATAATTTTATTAAAGGTCCGACTCTCTGTATATTATTCATCGGGCTGTTTTGGCCTTTAGTTATTTAAAAAATGACTCCTCTGTAAGTAGCTATAAAAATTTATAAGTTTAACGACAATGCATAAATGAAAAGTGAATTCCAGTTTGCCTTCAATAGCAACCGCTTACACGAATGTGTCTTCTGGAATTTTAAGAAATAAAATTCATTGAAAAACGGACCGCCGTCTTACACTGCACCAATCGGAACGTCTCGGCTATTAGTCATAATGACCTCGGGGAAAAAATTCGAAAAGTTTATGCCTCAGAAATTCTCTGAATTTTATTTTCCGAAAGCTCATTAGAGTTATTTTTGATGACGGGTTATTTATCTCAAACAGTTACTCACTGGCCAATTATATACCTGAGGCATCTTTTTCTTCTGTTGCTTTTTGGCAATAAGTTGAGTATTTTGTATGGAAGTCAAAAGACTATTTGTTTTACATTTTGGCAATTTGCTACTTTAGTGACCAATAATTTCACATTCAGTACTACTTAATTCGTTTAATATGCATCTAACACGCTCTGAAACCATTACCTTATCATTATAAAACTAATATTTGCCCTTTTACAATATATAGGAACTATTTTTTCCTTCTGATGCATATAATGTGCCTTAAATTGTAAGTGAGCCGGGCCTTATTTTTAATAGTTATAGTGACCCGGGTACCAAAAGTTATAGGATGAAAAGATTTTAATTTTATGTATTCATCCACAAGATATCCACAAATACCATGAAAGAATTCGAGTGACACTTGGAGAGTGTTAATAAAGTCATAGGAAAGTCTTTGACTTGTTTGATTTTGTACTTATTACAAGAAAACGCATCGTAATAAAAGAAACAGATTTTAGACAAGACAAACTATATACAAATTTTCGTAAAAAATGAAGACTGATTAAAACATACATGATCATGATGATGATGATGATGACGATGATAATAATGATGATGATAAATTTATTATCTGCACAATTTCTGCAATAGCGCCGCTTATTGTTTTTGTTTTTTTATTTTTTCATTACACATATCTCGCAGAACCATCCGAATCGTTCACATCTTCTCACCGTAAACTCGCGAAACATTGTTATATAAGACCCAAAAGTGTCGTCTGCAAAGTTGCAGTAATTGTGTCATTCATTCTTCTTTCTGCTGTTGTTTACATATCTCTCAGAAAGAAACGAATCATTTACAATGACATTTTATTTGCTTCAACTCGCGAAACACATATGACACAAATTTGTCGTCTACAAAATTGCCGCACGGTAATAGACGGGTAATTTATTGTCATTCACTATTCTATTTTGTATCGGTAACTTACCATTCAGGTACGACAGAATCCTTACGTTTGTGTCCTCAGACATCGTTTAGATTCGTGTACATATTTCCTATTTATGCTTTGTGTCCTGCGAGGAACAGGCTCGATTACTTCTGCAACAAATTATGTCACCTCGTCTGAGCTGAGATCTAGGAAAGTGTTGTTGATGATGATGTTGATGAACTTATTATTGGTTAGAGGCAAGTGGTTCAAAGTCAATGACCACCACCACCAGGGCACAAGGAAGGTGTATGGTTCATCTCTTTAAGAGTGTTAAATATTTCATCTTTTACTTAAAGTGTAGTGATGCAGTGAAATAAATAAATACATGTAAATAAATAAATAAATAAATAATTAAATAAATAAATAAAGGAGGGAAGGAAGGAACGAACGAACGAACAAAGGAACGAAAAAAGGAATGAACGAACAAAGGAACGAACAAACAAACGAACGAACAAACGAACGAATAAAGAACGAACGAACAAACGAACGAACGAACAAAAGAAAGAACCAACGTAGACAGGAAGGAAGGAAGGAAGGAACGAACGAACAAAGGAAGGAAGGGACGAACCAATTAGATTCATTCATTCATTCATTCATTCATTCATTCATTCATTCATTTATTTATTTATTTATGAACAATGAGACTTAAATGTGAGAATCTCTTATATAAAGCATGTACGTATATTTAGTATATAAAAGCCAACATTTGAAAGGCAATGGATAGTTTTGTCGAAGTGTTTAGTATAATTATAAACACTCCTGCCGCCTCGTGGCACACATGGTTCAAGTGAAACATGCACTTTAGCAAGATTATTAACTATAATTACTAAAATCAGCCAAATAAAATTTTACGCGCAATGTAATTTATTTTACTATCGTCCTCGGAAATCGATAAAATATTATTACCTGGTGAATAATTCATCAAAGCACGCTCAATCGATCATCGTATCCCTTTTAACTAAAGCATTTCATAAATATCTTTCAATCATCAATTATTCATAATACTTGCTTAACAGACAGACGTTTCGTACATGTTTAACTATAATTATTTCAGTATGTCGGGGAGACGAAAATGGGAGGCTAAAATTTATGAGATTTCTTCTTATTAGATTATCATTTTTTGTTTAAAATTCCGGTCATTTCTCGTAGATCCTTCTCAAAAACACTCAACCACCTCTTAATTAATTATATACATACGAGATTGCCAGAAAAATATAATAATGAATATATGTATAGTAAAGTTAAGAATGTGAAATAAATTCCATAACTCATGAGGGATTTTGGTGATCTCGGTTTAACCACAAATCTATGCACGAAATCGTATATATTTAGTGTTCAGTTGTTATGTTGTCGAAACTTTTAAGCCTAACAAATCCTTCATGAAAAGGTTCTAATTTATAACATTTCTTGTATTTTCCGTCTATTTCATTTCACATTATCAGTATATTGCACTGACCCCCTGCCCCCCTGATCCCTCCTTTCCTGCCTCCCATTTTTTCGTAACAACGACAAGAAAAAAAAATAACAAAAAACTAACTAAATCGAGTGTCGTTAGTAATATAATATATCCTATCATATGTTACATATCCCGTGAAATGAACACTTTTAATGAATAATATAATTATGTCGACATGCGTTATGCGGAAATATGGCACCAATGTTTTTTAATTACTGTATTTTTTACAATTTATTTATTTCATAAATTTATTTTGTAGAAAAAAACGTCTTTAAAAATCGCATAAGATATTATTAAAGCTGAAAAATGATTTACATATTTTACAAAATAAGTAGTATTTTCAAATATTATATTTTAATTTCTTATTCAAACATGAAACCTTTTATTCTGATAGAACAAAGCAGAACAGAACAGAACAATATCTGTTCCTAGACGTATTCCCATTTAATACTTTAGTTCAGAAGACCAGAAATAGACCCGGACAGAGAGTGAGTTAACTGGAAAATAATTCAACAGCAATTAATTATTCTTTTAATTGTATAAACATGTAAGTACATACATGTAAATCGTATTCGTTTGAAGTTATAAAGTATCATTAAATTTTCTAAAACCTATATACAATGAATAAATAATAAATGAAACTCTGAACATGCGTAATAAACACCTTTACAGTCGAACCCCAATCGGAACATCCTCGGCTATTATCTTCCTTATCCGAAAACTGACGGAAAGGGCCGAACAGTTGCGATTGAGTTGGACGCGTCTCATAAGACATGTATGAGAAAATGGTTGAAAGAAATCGGGGACTTTTTAATCGTTTTTTAACAAGTGACATGCAATTTAGTCCAAATAGTTCAATTTTTTCCAATTATGGTCTAAACTCGTGAATGAATGCTCATACTAAATTAATTAAATAAAGACGCTTGGATTTTGGTTTAAGGAAGGCTTTACCGTAGCTACACATGTATATTCTGAAAACATTAATCATTTTGATAACACTACTTAAATAAATTGTCTTTTGACAACTGTAAAAAATCGGTAAAGTTCGTATTTTTCCGTTCATATAGTATTTCCATAGTTGTTGGTGTTCTAATCCATGTCACATCGGCGCTTATTTGATTTGAATAAGTCACGGACTTTGGCGGAATATAACGTATTTTCACGAGTTCATAATAAATTTATTACCTTGAAAAATGAACTAAAAGTAAAGGCGTTTTGCAGACGACATGCTAAATAAACGATGAGGTAGATAAACGGATTTTGTGTTGCAACGATACGTTTGTGGTTACAGTATATAAATAATTCAACGTAAAACATAATGGAGACATCTTCATATTCCGAGAAATTCACACGTATAGTACTAGTTTGTCAATACATGTACACAAGAATATATCACTCGCAACAAAACTGGGGCCCGTATTTTCAACGATCGTACGATTTTGGAAATCTCAGCCTACGATTTTGATCTAAGAAATCGTAGGATTTTCATAGACGTACTATTCTTACACCTGCTCAATAACCCGTACTCTCTAGAAAGGAGATAAGGCGCAAATAAATGTCAAACTGCACAAAGACGTCTGCTAGTTCTTAGCATAATCATTTATCATTATTTATGTATTGAATAGAAATTATAAGCATTACATAAATTTCATAACGGCGTTTGCGTTAAGTTATCATCACCATCATCATCATCATCATCATCATCATCATCAAAAACAGCAAAAAGAAAAAGAAAAGAGGAATAAGAACAACAGTAACAAAATTAGATGAAAATTTAAAATATTTTAAGTCACATGAAATACATTTTTTACAATTTTTGTATGTCATACATTTTACTTAAACATTTGAGTTAATGGCTATCTTACTATCATCAGCAATATTCAATTGTCTTCTAAATAAATAATAATAAATAAATCATAAAAATGAAGAATATTTTTCATAATAATCATAATTATCACCATAATTATCAATTTCGATCAGCCAAAACTTTTTCTATTATAATTAGATTTATTTTTCTGTTGTCATTTGTTGTATCATAAAGTACCTATCTATACAGTACAATAAGAAAGTTCACGTAGCGACTGCCTCACAGAGGAAATTATGGTGTTTCGAAAGGTATATATATAAAAAAGTATCGCGCGGAGAACAAATTTAATGAAGAAAAAAGAAAATAAAATAAAAATGAATAAAATGAATTTAGACGCTTTTGTGACTCTTTTTTTCTCATTTTCACATTTAACTGTGTGCGTCATAGCCAGTGTGAAATGTCTCAGTTGTTCGCAAGCATAGTTAATTCTCTTGCTCATTTATTATTTATATACCCGACTAGAACGAGTATTCGGATAAGGCCTACCACATTAATAATTCACATGCAATCGGCTAACTCTCAAATTATTTTCACTTATTCTGGTGATTACAAATGGAGGCTTACAAATAATTTATTTGTTGACAGTGCGATGGTAAATAATTTATTAAAACCAGCCCGAGATCTATATATATCTTTGTCTGCGAAGTTTTGTCGTCACTTTTCAAGTCTATACGTTCGAGTAACATTTTCTCTTAATAACCATCGACGGTTCAAGAAGGCGCGTAGGAATATGATATTTTTATGTAAAGAATTATATTAAGATAATTACAAGTGTGAATTTGCACATTAAGCGGAGGATAGTTCAGATTCAGTATATATCGTATGGAAACTATGAATTCTAACGCCGTCACTGTGAAAGTTGAGCCTCCAGACGACTTTGGCGCGGGAACTAGTGACAAAGTGTCGTCTGCTACACTTCAAAATGGAACTGCTGAGAAAAAAGATTTATCGTTTGGTAAGACAGGCAAAATGAATACTTCAGGAAATGATTCGAGGAATTTCACTTGTCTGTTGTGCGATATCGTTTGTGATAGCCGAGACGACCTCAGGAAACATTTAAAGAATGCTCATGCTTCGAAAAATTATTCAACCATGAATAGCACTATGTACTTGAATAAGATTTCGTCAGAAGCCACTGCTAGGGCATTTTCCGGCTATGTCAATTATCGCTACACGTGCCCAATTTGTGGAGCAAAGTTCAAAAGTTTTCGGACATACTTGACTCATAACATGTCGCATCGGGGTACCAGTGGACTTCAACCTTTTGACGAGGCTAGAATGGCCGCCCTTTTCGGAACCGGGAAACAATATATGCAAGATTACCTCGAGGCAGAGGAAGGGTATGCGGGGACTTTCTCGTGTAATGAATGTAAAACCGTGTTTGTACAAAGAGATGGGTACGCAATGCATATGATGATGCGGGCGATGAATGGAACTTGTAGAACGGCTGTTACCATGTACGAAAATAGTCCGGTATCAACCAGCGAGGAAACATCGCAAAAGCCGGTTTCAAATGGGACGGATGTGCAAACTACGCAGTCTGGAGAAATAGTCCCGACCTCAACGGAGCAGACAAATCAGCGCTGTCTTGAAGATGTAACTGCTAAAATAGATCAAGATGAATATTTAAAATCTGTCTTGGACAAAGTGTGCGCCTCTGACGCGCAGAAACTAGATGCTTCAAATTATACAATTGACGATAGGAAAATGTGCTCGTTTTGCAGAGAAACCTTTGTGGACCAAGATTCATTAGCCATGCATGTGATGTCAGACCACGCGAATGAAATGTCTTCAACAACGTTGAGAAATAACAATTCTACAAGAGGTGCAAATCACGATGATTATCTAGCGTGGATGGCTGTAGCAACAAAACCAATGATGATGAATTGTGTATGTAAGTACTGCAATGAAACTTTTATGTCACGCGACAGTTTAGCTTTACACGTGCTTACGCATGCGCATCTAGAGGAAAGAATGGTAGGCCACTCGCGAAATTCTGCCAAGCGGAAGTCGGAAGGTCTAGATAATGGATTGTCTTTACTACAACCACCAAAACTGCTTAAATACAATGAAGAATTCGAGACTAACGACCACAACGGTTCTACGCCACCAAAAGTAGTGCAAGTAAACGGCATTGTGGACTCTAACCTATACTGTGAAGAATGTGACATAAAATTTTACGCTTTGTCCGAATATAAATGGCACAAGGAACGTCACAACAATGGCGATATAACAAACTATGACCGACCCTTATGTTTAAGTAAAAAGACTGAAAGGAAATATTTACCAAACAATATTGAGTCGGCCGGCATAAGTTTCACAGACAACAATAAAAGAAGAAGAAATAGTTTTTCTTCGACGGATACATCAAAAGTTTGTACCCAAGCTACCGATAAACTTCCACAGCGTCCTGTCTCGGTCGGTGACTGCTCCAGACACACATTGAAAGTACTAAGTAAATCGCATAGCGAACATTTACACACTGGCAATGGCGAAAACTCTTCGACACTTGACGGGAAATCCGTACTTAATACTATAAATTCACTTAGCTCAAGCGAACAGCGCATTATTTACTCCGTTTTCGGGAATGATTTAGGATTAAAACTCGAAAATACTGACTATCTGTCTGAAAACTCAAGGTCAAGGTCGTGTACACCGCCTGTTGATCTGTCGTCTGCTAAACCGAAAAGTCCGGCAAAAGACGCGCGTTCTCATAAGACGCATGGAAGTGATCCAAATGTATCCGAATTAACCAAAACTGCGGACCCGGATGAGAATATTACTGTTAAACTTGGGGATCCGAATAAACCAATGTGCAAGTACTGTGAAATATTATTCTTTAACAAAGCGATTTATTATCTACACATGGGACTACATAATGTGAATAATCCATGGCAATGCAACATATGTGGTAAAATATGCAATGATGCAGTAGATTTTGCCGCTCATGTGATCCATATGTAATTTTTTTAAATTTCTTTTTGGCAATTCGGGCGAGTAGGCGCCAGTTGGGTGTACTTTGTTATGAAACTTGTATTTAACATCTTAAACAGCATGGTGCCACCGACTTTAGATAAACATATAATTTGTGTAATGTTTCATTTTCTAAAGTTTTTTAATCATGAACAATTCTAATTGTGGAATCAAAGGCTAATTCTTTTTCCTGAAAAAGACATACATGTATAGAGTATACTAACTGGCATCTTGTCGCCCGATAATATCATAATTAAACTAAGTTTGTTTTTATATCTAATTGATCAATTTTAAACCATTTCCAGTATGTTAAATTTTCCGCATTTTTATCGGTATATTAGCTGTGTTTTATTGCAATAAAAATGCAGATATGCATTGAATAATAAATATTTCAAATTTAACGTATCCACTATAGAATGATTTATTTTTGACTCCGCTAAGGTGGACATGCTTAAAAAGTCATTATATTATCATGAGTTCGTAAAAGATCGGTAAAAGTCGTTAGTTTCAGTGCTATGGCTAGACTATGCCACAGCAATTTTGGCAGCCTGCCGCTTTCTAAATACAATTTGGTTACGGAAATTGACGAAGATGGCCGTAATGACACGAGCTATAATGAATTTATAAATTTACAATATAACTTATCCCTTCAAGTGTAAGGTTAAAAAATAATATTTAATACTTTTTACTTACAATATAACATGTTAAAAACGGCCTCTTCTCTTCAGCAGAACAACTATTTTATTTATTTTATATACATATGACCTTCATTTACACATTTTAATTAGATGTAGGGCATTCAAGTGGTACCTGTGCCAAAGTGACAGCTTAATTCATTTGTAATAAAATTAAATCAACTTGAGTCAAACTTACTATCAATAATTCGATTACAAGACCGACCGATTTTATAATCTGATATTTCATAGATGTCTGTCTTTGCGAAGGGCGACCATAGTTAAAAAGCCCTAAAGCGCACAATTTGTTGGGCTATGTCAAACTAGGAACCATTCTATGGCTACGAAAACGTGACAAAATCTGTCACTTTCCTTGTCATTTAAGTAAAAAAAGCACCCATTGAAATGAATAAAATACGGAAACAATCGGAACATATTAGCTATTATCAACAATTCTTATCCGAATTTTGACGGAAAGGACCGAGAAGATGCGATTGGATACGGAAATAACGAAGTTTGCCGAAATCATGCGATTGCAAGCCATTGATATTCTAATAAGCTAATGATGTTTGTTAATAATTTAAATGTCGAGTGGTTTCGAAAAAAATATGTCACTGTTGAAAAAAACAACTCATAATGCAATAGTATAGATTTAAGAGAATAAGATAAAATATGAATCAGAATTCGATACGTGGTTATTAATAAAATACATTTTAATAACGAGATGTATGTTAATGAAATAGTAAACAACACGCTGTTAACATTTATTCATCACAGTCGCAACGCAACGCGACAAAAGGGACACCTTAAGTGACGAATGGCGATCATTCATAGTCTCTCCGAAGACTGGCGGAAAAAGTCGATAACTTGAGGATTGCAAACTTGAGTCTGCAATTGTCCTTATTTTCATTGCCCTTGAAGATTCCTATTAATGTGCATGACAAAGTGTATTTCCATTACATGTATCTAACAAGGGTTACTTATTCATCTGAATAGATTTTTAGTTATTCTAATACACCTTTTGAAACATTAGACTATCCCTAGGGAAATGAGAGGTAGATGAATGACTTGTTTGTATAATTGTTTCTTTCAATATTTAGAAAAGGCGAGATTTTTCCTCGAGTTTATTCAAATATCTGCTGTAAAATTTCTATCCGCTGTGAATATTCTTAAATGTAAGGGTGGACGTTAAGCACAGTAGTGTCTGTTAATACCGACCCTGTCAAACAAATGGTAATGGCTGTGTCTGGGCTCCTGTAGGATAAAAACGTGGGGTTTTGAATATTTAAAAGACAGGAAATTTGTCTTGCATAATTCTCATTTATCTTTCGTTTAGTTCACAAGATAATCCTTAGATGTGACATTTTTGAAATCAGGTTTTCTTTCATTGCTGTATAGGTTAGAATCATCTATAATGTAATATATAACTAATTCCAGTATCGCAATCGGAACTCCTCGGCTTTGAGGTTAACAAACTACCTAAGATGAAAGGTCAAACCCATCCTCGCATTCGTATTCGCGGGGACCATTACATTAAGAGGTCATTCATGTTTCGCAACCGGAACACCTCGGCTATTTTTTTCATAACTCTTATCCGAAGTTTGACGGAAAAGGACCGAGAAGTTGCGATTGAACAGTATCGGTGTTAATAAAAAAAACAACAACAACAAAAAAGGCATTGAATTGGGTTTAGGCGGTATTATATATCATGCACAATCAACCGAAGTCATGTCCTGTATGTGGCCATTTAATGGCAAATTAAAACTAAGGAATCGGGGGAACAAGAGGGTGGGAAATTGACTCAGTCTGGTGCTTACTGTCCTCTTTTGAACATGTCTTCCCTGTCATTGGTTTGGTTTAACGTATTCCTTTTTAGTTCATGCCTATTTATCTGAATAGGTATTTAACACAGTGTCATTAATAAACACCGATGAAAATACTACGGTCGACTTTGGGAGGAAATTTATGAGAAACGACCGAAAAGGATACAAAGTAAAATTGCGTTTTTAAACATTCAGTAAAGGTCAAATTTGTGTAATTATGGATCTAGTCTCTATTTTCCTGTTGCATAATTAAAAATTTATACACTTTGAATGTAGATTGCTTCATTAACAAATTTCTTTTTACACCGATGAATGTTACATGAATATTTCATAAGGGCTATAGCCGGAACAAAGGGGTTTATTCCATATTTAGAGAAACTGATCCACCTTTTTACTCTTCAGCTGAAATAACATTTACATGTATGTAACTAGCATCAATAATTTCATTGATTTTTATTATCATTTAATTTTCAACGGCTTAAATAAACGAAATGGAACGCATACCTTGATATTACGTCGTAAAGCAATTTGTAAGTGCGCGCACTAAAAATGTCGTAATGGTGGTTCATTTAAATTCTTTATGTGTTCAAGATGGCTTTGGGAAGGTTTCGTAGACTTTTCAGTGTGGTTTTGTTCAATGAAAGCGCATTTAGACATTTCGTAATTAATTTAATCATAAAATAGTAGTACCAACTAACTAATGGGTACATAAAATTCCTGTGACAGCTATAAGCTGTACACGTACAGTTGTATTCGTTTTTTGACAACGTTTACAACTTACGTAGGTTTACGTATGATAAGTACATCCACTTTCCTGAAACGAAGTCATGGTCTTTTCAACTAAGGTATTGTTTTGTATGATATATATATACGGTTTTTATTTAAAGGTGGGCTTTCAAATAGGCGTTTAAGGTTATTTTCAAACTATTGCCTCATTAGTATACAAAACCTTGCCGTTTTTTCCTTTAATTATTTTATCATCCGTATTCAAAGTTTACGAAACGTTTTCAAGAATTTGGCGATTAGTTTAAATCATACTATGCTTAAACTATTAGAATTCTGTTCTGCATGTTTTACGTAACAGATTTTTGTATGTTTTAAAATAAGATGAAAAATGTCTATGAACAGTGGTGGAAAATTCAAACTATTTACATGAATAAAAGAATGACAAAACATACACTTTAGCTTACTAAAAATAAATAAAAAATAGGGTATATCCTAATTTATTTACAAGTTTGGACCCTAGCTTTTCTTTCCTTTCATAGAATTTAAAGTTATAAAACAGGGCGCATCGTTTAAAAAGAAAAAAAAAACAACAAAAAAATCAACAACATTTATAAAATATTACCGATATTAAAGTGGCGTTATATTTATCAGAGAGAGAGAGAGAGAGAGATTTCACCGGTATTTACACTTTTGAATATTTCAAATCAGTCTCAAATTTCAGCATTACATTCCATTCTAAAATTGATTAAATTTTAAACGATAATTAGATTAATTAAAGTCTCTCCAGGGGCAAAGTCGATAGGCATTCTGACCTTTTTATTGATGTTATAGCACGAATATAGAAAAGGTTAATTTGTTTTGAGTATACCATTTACTATATTATAAGTACGTACAGTTAAACATGTTTTAAAGAGCACGTTCAAATTAAGACCACCCTGTAAATAAAGTTTGTTTTACGACAACCCGCCATTGTTTTGATAGAACAGAACCTCCAATAAAAATTCACTTGTCTATATAGGCCATATTCAGTCTCAACTTAAGATGGCCTTTCTCCATATGTTTGACAGTATATACTCGCAAATAGCCACCATTTTCGTTCAGTTATATGAATTTGCAAATTTAAACCTCATTGGATAAATAAGTCTGGCTTATTCTAAAAGGTATCTTACTCAGATAGTGTCATAAACGGGCCATAAATTCTCTCTTCCGCTCGGAGCATGCACGTCGCAGTGAAGGCACAGGGCATCGGCAAAAGATTTGAAGAACTCGGAATTGCAAAAAACAACAACATAGAACAGAACTTGTACCTGCGGACCAGCTGCCAATGTCCTGATTGATGCCGTGGGAGAGGCCGTACAAAGTAGGCAGGGTCAACGAAGAAATTGTGCTAGAATGCGGTACAGTAACCCTTAAAAGGCTGTTTGTGCCAAGCAAATGACCTGCCTTTCAAGCCACCACTCTCTAGGCCCACTGACCCCCTAGCACAGAGAGTGGTGGCTTGTAGAACATGCCCTTTACTTAGCACCAACAGCCCTCTTAAGGGCTACCTCCTTTTTCATATTGTCTCAGCTTACTGTACATTTAGGTTCTCATTGGCCGCCGTACAGTGACATACTTTTGGCTGAAAATTCATATAAATATATATTTGGTTAATACTCCGTGGAAATTGCATCAATGTAAATTATTACCACTTTTTGCTTCAAAATTAACCCTTTAAGGGCATGACTGGCGACATGTTGGAGACAATATTTGACAACGGATGTTGCCTGAAAGTGCGTATAGACCCTCATTAAGCATATATGTCATCCTCAAGCAAACTGCAGGTAAACCTTGGGAAACAAAAGCACAAAATCGGAAACCCTCATTAATAAAAAAAGTTAAATAAACGGGAAAAAGGGGAACAAAATATTAACGGAAATCTGAAGGAAAGTGTAAGAACTGAAATAAAAATAATTAAGTTACTTTGCCGATTCAAACAAAATAATATTTATAGTAAGAGAAATGCGTTGAAATAAACGAATAAAAGCATTCGTAACGATAAGAAAAAAGAATCTGTAATATATGGAAAAATTCAGCTCTTCGCTCATTTCATCACGTAGTAGCTTTTAGCTAAGTTCGTCGACATTATAAAAACTGTAAATAATTTACGCAAACAT